GTAGTTCTATTTTTAGTTTTTTGAGGAACCTCCATACTGTTTTCCAGAGTGGCTGCACCAGCTTGCATTCCCACCAACAATGCAGAAGAGATCCTCTTTCTCACATCCTCGCCAACATCTGTTGTTGCCTGAGTTCTTAATGTTAGCCATTCTGACAGGTGTAAGGTGGTATCTCATTGTGGTTTTGATTTGTATTTCCCTGATGGTGAGTGATGAGCATTTTTTCATGTGTCCATTGGCCATCTGGATGTCTTCTTTGGAGAAGTGTCTATTCATGTCTTTTGCTCATCTCTTCACTGGATTGTTTTTTGGGTGTTGAATTTGGTAAGTTCTTTATAGATTTTGGATACTAACCCTTTATCTGATATGTCATTTGCAGATATCTTCTCCCATTCTGTCGGTTGCCTTTTAGTTTTGCTGATTGTTTCCTTCGCTGTGCAGAAGCTTTTTATTTGGATGAGGTCCCAGTAGTTCATTTTTGCTTTTGTTTCCCTTGCATCCGGAGACATGTTGAGTAAGAAGTTGCTGCGGCTCTTTTGGCAGTTATTAAGAAGTTATATTTTATGGGACACCTGGGTGGCTCAGTTGGTTAAGCTTCTGACTCTCGATCTCAGCTCAGGACATGATCAGGACATTTTGGCTCAGGACATGATCTCATGAGATTGAGTCCCACACCTGGCTCTGCGCTGGGCATGGAGCTGCCTTAAGATTCTCTCTCTCCCTCTCCTGCTCCCCAGCACACACTCTCTTTTCCTCTCTCCCTCTCTTTCTCTCTCTCAAGAAAGAAAGAAAGAAAGAAAGATAGAAAGAAAGATAGAAAGATAGAAAGAAAGAAAGAAAGGTGTTTTATTTTATGATTTGGAACTCATCTTAAAATAATTCGTTCTTAGAAATGTTGTACTGCTACTTAGCCAAAAGTTTAGAGCTGAAAGACAAATTTGGGCACCATTTACATGGTAGAGGGAGTATATGAGAGTTTGCAGTATTTGCATGAATATATATTTAATAAACTTGGCTTTGTAACATTTGGAAAATTAAAATTTTGGGACTTTACTTTCACCAATAAAATTAGAATTGAACTATATTTTTATTTTTATTTTTATTTTTTTTTAAATTTTTTTTTTTAACATTTATTTATTTTTGGGACAGAGAGAGACAGAGCATGAACGGGGGAGGGGCAGAGAGAGAGGGAGACACAGAATGGGAAACAGGCTCCAGGCTCTGAGCCATCAGCCCAGAGCCCGACGCGGGGCTCGAACTCACGGACCGCAAGATCGTGACCTGGCTGAAGTCGGACGCTTAACCGACTGCGCCACCCAGGCGCCCCAGAATTGAACTATATTTTTAATGGTTTTCTTAGTTCTTGTGTTCTTTGACCTTGACAGGCAGGTGAAGGAAAAACAAATGCCAAATATATGCCCAAAGGAACAACAAATATTAAAGGCTGAATCATTGTTATGAAAATCTTAAAACAATAATCTTTCTGAAATGAATATTTAGAGGAGGAGAATATGAGAATAGAGCTGACCCAAAGTTGAAGATTTTGGCTGTCAGTTGGGAAGACCCCCCCCCGCCTTTCTTCCTTGATTTTGGTGACATTTATATTGAAGCAATTCAGGAACAATATTTCCACATTTTTGATTATTTGCGTTATTTAATGATAAATAAGAAAGTAAGATTGATTTGCAAGAACCCTGTGGTTACTGATGGAAGCCCTGTCTGCCTGCCCCTTTTGGGCCACTCACCAAAAAGACTTCTGCTTCTTTACCTCTGTGAAGAGTAGTGTGAAAGAGGACGGTTTCCTTTGTCCCTCTGCTTTGGCATCACTACCCACACTGAGCTTTTTAATTTATTCACTCTTCTTGGTTATAAAGCCTTTCTGTTTGGCCAAATGAAATTACATTCTGTGTTATCTAATTTATTTTGCAACTAGGTTAAGAACTTTCAAGAGACACTCCAATTAAAATTTTTTTTTAATGTTTATTTTTGAGAGGGAGAGAGAGAGAGAACACAAGTGAGCGAGGGTCAGACAGAGGGGGGACGCAGAATTGGAAGCAGGCTCCAGGCTCTGAGCTTTCAGCACAGAGCCCGACCCTGGGCTTGAACCCATGAACCGTGAGATCATGACCTAGGCCGAAGTTGGATGTTTAACCAACTGAGCCACCAAGGCTCCCCGAGACACCCCAATTTAAATCCATGTCTAAGAGAAGGAAAAATTGATCTTAATCTGGACTTGGTCAATGAGGCAATACTTAGTATATGTACTACTTTTACATATTTCTTTACTATTTTGCTTAATATTCTGTGCTTCTTAAATCATTCTTTTAAAATAACTAATCCTATCCATTTTGTAAAAAGCTAATGATATAAAATGTAAGTAGGAAGGGTTGAAAAGGGGGAGCCACAGTTTACCTGAAAGTATATGATTATCTTCTTTTTAAAGATACCCTAACCCTGGGGTTTCTCTTTCCTGTACATCCACTTAATTGCAAAATCCTGGTTATTTCATATTTTAAATTCCATGAATTTATTCTGTCCTCTTGGTCAGCATTACCCTATCTGTAAGCCACCTGTTTTATCAACAAGACTATTACAGGAGCCTTCTAACGGACTCAGGTGTAAAAGTTACTCTCTTCCTTTCTCTGTGTCAGTATTGTTGCTATCCTAAATATGCTAAAGTTATCACTCTCTGTCTTACTGTTCTTCAGTGATTCATCATCATCCAGAGCACTGGTTCTAAAAAATTGTTGTGCATAAGAATTGCTGGGGCAGGGGCATATGAGTGGCTCTGAAGGTTAAGTGTCTGACTCTTGATCTCAGCTCAGGTCATGAGTTCAAGCCCCACATTGAGCTCCACACTGGGCGCGGAGCCTACTTAAAACCAACCAAACAAAAAAGAATCACTTAGGCATTTTCTGATTTAATGTGTCTAGAGATTCTGATTTGTATTGTTCTTAGACCCCAAGCTTTGAGGAACCCGAATCATAACTAAGTGCTAACAGCTGCTGAGCTCGTACCAGGCGCTGATCTAAGTTGGCTCTGTTTGCTAATTCTCTCAACCATCTTGTGAGGTATATAGATACAAACTATTCTGCTGTTTCCCATTATAAGGATGATACCATCAAGGGTAAGTCCATGCTTCTTGTCATGGACCTCCAGAGTTCTGACCCATGTCTGTTTTCTTATCTGCCCCCCCTTTGTTGTCACCTCTTCCCCGTTCCTCTTTGCCCTGAAAATCCAGTAATACTGAACTGTATGTTGCCTAAAAATACCATTTCTTTTCAGGTATTTGTGCTCTTATCATGTTCCTATTTCCTAAAGCTTCCTTCCCTTGGTTCTTTCTTTACTCAAGACCTTCTGTTCAGGAATCATCTCTGAGAAGTATTTCCTAAATACGAACCCTAATTAGTTAACTCCTGTCTATTTCTGAATGATTTGTGCATACTATAGTCATGAGACTGGGAATGGCATTTTCTAGAAATAATTTATGTCTTTTTCTCCTGTCCTTAACTCTTGATTGCAACTGCTTGAGAACAGAAAACAGGTGATTTTCTTTTGTAACCCCACGGTGCCCACATAGAGTAGGATCTCAGTAAAGTATCTTTGTGTACTTTGAAAGTAACTGTAGCTAGTGTTATTTGTCTGTGTCATTCTTCCATGTGTATTACCATAATGGAGACTTATTTGTAGAATCTCAAACAGAACCACTAAAGATGAATCATGGAGGGGAGAGACTTTTGTCAGATTAAGATAGTTAAGTGGCAAATTAAGGAATTATAATTGAATAGTAAAGGAGATAAATATATGTAGGAAAAGAGAATCATAGTGTATTTAATTTAAGATCATTATGGGTTGAGATTAGACTTCTAGGAAATATATGACCCATTGTAGCTCTGCTGTAATTTGCTTTTCAAAAATTCTTGTCTTGTATTTGCTTTTTAGAAAAAGACGCCACAGTTTCACTTCTCTTTTTACCATGTACATCAATGTTTAACAAATAGAGATTCGACAAGAATAATATGTAAAGCCAAACTAAATAGAAACAACTTGATGTGGTGGGTGGGCCCTGGACCATTCATGCCCTGAGACTAATTGTTGGATGGCAGGCTGAGGTCCTGCCTTATTTCAGGCCTCACTGGTTAATTAAGTAGTTTTAGACTTGACATTTCTAGACTTTGTTGTCCTACCAAATAATGTGAGTGAAATTTTAAGTTGAAATAGGTTACCTTAAAGTCCTTTCTGATGTTATTCTCCTAACAATGAACACAGTATAGTTGATCTTAAGGTCTGTGCATCTGGCTCTCAGAAATTTGAAGTACTTCCTACATTGCATCAATGTATTTGACTGTTTTAGGTGTGATTATTTGAATTGTTAAGTGTTTATGTTTGTAAGACTATTACACAGCCACGAAAACTTGTTAGTATAGTTGCATTTGTTCGGCCCAGTCTGAATTTAAACAAAACAGGACAATTTATAGTTATTTTTCTCTGTCGTGTTCATATGTTGGGGGAGGGGAGTTGGTAACACCATCCTGTAAGGATAAAGGAACAGTAAAGTCATTTGCTCTGTGTCATTTTAGCTGCAGACATTCAATACTGCCGCACCTTGTCAAGATGTCAAACAGCTGACTAATGGAGTTGCCATGGCACAAGTTCTTCATCAAATGTAAGTAGTAGTCCAGACTCTTTTTGAAGGAATTGTAAACCCAATACCAAGGAAGAAAACTTAGCCGTGTATTCTAAAAGTTGCTGAAACTTTATCCTATTAAGTCGTGACAGGCATTATTACATCTAGGGCACAGGAAAGTTCACCACCTGATTCTTCCTTGCTTGTTCACAGAGGTAATCTTAATTAAATGAGCAAACACGATTATTATCTAGCTAAGAGATTTTCATTTTAAACTTGTTCTGGTCACATTCACAAACTACAGTAACTGGAAAAGACGCTGTTTTAATGAATGGTATAATTGCTTATGATTTTTTGAGTTACTTTACTATCATTGGAAGGTATCAATGCATGGAGATTATTATTTTAGAGAGAATTGAAGTATATAATACTGGATTTGGAAAAAAAATATTAAATTTTAAAATCTATATTTGAGTTAAAAGTAGGAATTCTATGACTCTACCAATAATAAAATGAGGTATAAATGAATTTTGGAATCACAAATATTGGAGAATCTTAATAAAACGATTCTGTTTGGATTAGGCCCATTAGATATAATTATATAGTATCAAAAGTTCCTAAGTCCATTAGTTCATAATTTTTGCCAAACATTGTGCAATGATTATGGTTATAACATCTGCAATATGAGCTCTACCCTTAGTAGGAACAAACAGGGCTAATTTATTAATTGATAGCCCTACTGATTTTGTATTAGCTTACTTTTATGATAATGTATCTTCCATGAGACCAGAATCCTATCTCTGCTATTTGTTTTATAGTCAGAGATGTTTTTTTCAGTGGTTGCCATCATTTTGTCAACGTTTGTTGTGATTGACATTGAAAACCCTGTAGATGGGTTTGCGGAAATTCCTTATCACCCTCAGAAAAACAACTCAAAGTGTAAAAATTGTAGTTACTTTGAATTTTCAACATAATCTAATGTGAATAGACAGATTTTATGGTTAACTCAAGATTAATACATTAAGAGACAAACTTAACATGTTAACTTTTTTTTTTTTTTGGCAGTCATTCTAAAATATGCCTTTCTCCCTTCTTTTCTCAAACGTGTTTCTTAAACATTTTATTTATTTATGCCCTGATTAGTTTCAAAGTGATTTAATTGGTCAGAACCAAGCATTCTGGATATGACCCTTTATTGATGATGTGGGAAAGTCGTCATTATTTTTTATTGTTAGAATGTGCCCCTTGCCTTTTGTTATTGCAGTATGTTGTGGGTATTGGTGTAGATGGAGCTACATTGTGGTTGGTATGGATGTAAGACTGGTACGCATTCATTGACTTCAACAGGGCCATCCAAAGCTGTTATTTATATGTATTGTGGTGGCTCTGGTAGCTTTTATACTACAATACAATAGAAGAGACCTGTTTTTACTGTGATATGATGCATTGGCTCTTTGTCTCCCTGTACTCTACCACTGTACCTGATGTTTATTATTTTTTTTTTATTTAAAAAAAATTTTTTTTAGTGTTTATTTATTTTGGGGAGACAGAGAGACAGAGTGGGGGAGGGGCAGAGAGAGAGGGAGACACAGAATCCAAAGGAGGCTCCAGGCTCTGAGCTGTCAGCACAGACCCCGACACGGGGCTCGAACCCACAAAGCATAGGATCATGACCTGGGCTGAAGTCGGATGCTCAACCAACTGAGTCACCCAGGTGCCCCTGTACCTGATGTTTAGAGTAGGGTCAGTTCAAATTTAGTTAAACTCTACCCTTTATCACTAACTCATTTTCCATAATCTGTTGGATTCTGCTGTTACTGCCGAACCTCTGGCTCTCTGATTTTCCTTTTTTTCTTTTCCTTCTCTCATTTGTTGTATTCTAATGGCTTTTCTGCAAGAATAATAAAATAGCCAAACAATCAGAAAGCTCTCTTTCTTCATAAAATATATGACAGTGACCTAAAATGGGATTGAAACCTCTTTTTTTGCTTTGCCTGTTTTGGCATGTACTTAGCTGTCTTAGTCTCCTTATCATCCAAGAATTATTTAAACTTTATTTTTCTGTTGAATCCCCTTCTAGTTTTATAGCTTTCCAGAAGTCTGGATCTGGATAGTGAAACTTAGAAGCATACATTTTTCTCTAGTTGAATCAGTATATCATATTGTGGCTAGAAGGGCACATTTTACCATATTTCTTTGAACACTCAAAAGCACTTTGTATATGTTACACTCTGTTATGAATTGCATTGATTACTATTGTGACTCACATCAAATCACATCAAAGTTGTAACTGAAGATGAGAAGGGAAATTCTGCTTTCTAAGAAGTAGCAAAATTTAATGAGTAATTATTATTTACCTGAGGCAAGTATGGTAAATAATAAATCTTAAAAATCAATGCCCAAACTATATGACTTAGACTTGGAGAGTCATGGAATTATTGCTAGGGTTTTACAAGTCCTTAATTATTATCTTTGGCCTGAATACTTTTAAAAATATATGTAGATATTTAAAGAACACATGGGGAGAACCTATAATTACAGCTGCATTAGTGTCCCAGGATTGCCATAACAGAGTACCACAGAGTGGGTGGTTTAAAACAACAAAAATTTGTTTTCTCTTAATTCTGGAGGCTAGAAGTCCTACATCAAGGTATTGGCTGGGTCATGCTCTCTCTGTTGCCTGTAGGGGAGGATCATTCCTTCCAGCTTTGGTACCGCCGTTCCCCCCTCCCCCCTCCCCCCCCCCCATTCCCAAGTCTGTGGCAGCATGGCTCCATCTCTGTCTCTTCTCTGCTTGGTTGTCTTCCCTCCATGCCCGTGTCTTTGTGTCCTCTCCTCTTCCAGTCGTATTAGTAATTTAGTTTGATCTCATCTTAATTTGATTGCATCTGCAATGACCCTGTTTCCAAATAAGGTCACATTGACAGATATTGGGGGTTAGAATATGAACATGTTATTTTGGAAGATACAGTTCAACCCACAACAACTATAAATACTATAGCATGTGACTTCCCCCAAAAGAAAGGCTTAATTTGGCCACTTTAAACAACAGATAACTTCTCTGCTTATTTCTTTTGCCTGTCTTGACTAGACATTTTTGCAAGAGGGAAAAGAGCGAGAACAAGAATGTAGAAACCCAGAGGCCTCAAGTACCATGCAGTTATCTCTTCATTCATTCAGTCAGATATTGGAGTATTTGAAATGATGAATCATGATAGCCAACATCTGAGTATTTACTAAGTTATAAGCCATTGTTATATACCCTACGCATATGTTATTTCATTTAATTTTTACTGTTCTGTGAGGTAGATATTCCTCAGTCTATACATGAAACAGAGGTTTAGAGAGGTGAAACAACTTTGGTAAAATCAAATAACGAGTTAATAGCAAAGCCAGGATTGGCATAGCTTTGGCCTGACTCTAATACCTGTGCTCTCCATCAGCTGTAATCCGTGAAATCTAGTATCTTGACCTTCTCCTGATAGATTATTCCTTTGGGGTCTTAATACATAAAAGGCCAGATGTGCATGCCCAAAGTACAGATCACAATTTCATGTGTTAACCACAGTAGGCCTTTTGATTGTCCAAGAAAAACTATGTCAGGGTGTCTCTTGGAGCAAAACAACTATGTTGTGTATAGTAACCGGCAGCTGTTAATTATTGCCTGTATTTAGTTGGTAAAATTGTTGAAGACAAACACTATGAGTGGAGTTAAATAATTTTATACTCATTCCTACTTACTTTTGTTAGACAACAATTGGACCATATTTTGCTTCCTCAGTCTTATGTCCCCTCGAGTTTCACTGAAGTTCTGGGAAGGATGAGATAAGGAGCTAATTGTTCAGGCCAGGAGTCTAGTTAAGACGTGTAGATGTGGCAGTGCAGAAGTGTAAGGAAGGATATGTCCAGAGTTACGAGGTTGGGTATCAAGGGGAAGGTTGGCTGCCGTTAAAAATGTTTCAGAAGAATGACTTGTTTATGAGAAAAGGAAGACGGCAGAAGTTACGAAGTATTTCTCAGAGTGTTATAGGCTGAATGTTGGCATCCATTCCAGATTTCTGTGTTGAAGCCCTGACCCCCAGTGTTGTAGCTGTACTGGAGATGAGGCCTCTGAGAAGCAATTAAGGTTAAATAAGGTCATAAGAGTGGGGCCCTGATCTGATAGGATTGGAATCTTTGTAAAAGAGACATCAGAGAGCTCACTCTCTGTGAGCACACCAAGAAGAGGTCATGTGAGCACACGGACAGATGCAGCCACCTACAGGCCGAAAGAAGAGAGCTGAGAACGAAACCTACCTTGCTACACCATTTTGATCTTGGGTTTCCAGCTTCCAGAGCTGTGCGAAGTAAATTTCTGTTATGTAAGCCACCCAGTCTGTGATCTTTTGTTATAGAAGCTTGAGCAGACTAAGACGTAGGGCTGAAGTTGATTTGGAGTAGAAAGAAAGACAAGGAGGAACACAAGATAAAAGGAGGAAAGCTAGAAGAGGTAATGTCTAGATCCATTTTCTAGAGGTAATTAGAACATAATTCTAGAAGCATATATGATGATATCTTTTAGAAGACTTGTGTAGTAGGGTTCTCCAGAGAAATAGAATTAATAAGACATGGATATATACAATAGGATGGACGCACACACACATACACGCACATGCACACGGGACAGAGAAATTTGTCTTTAGGATTGGTTCACATGATTGTGGAGGCTGGCAAGTCCAGAATCCACAGGTCAGGCCTGCAGGCCAAAGATCCAGGAAAGAGTGGATGTTGCAGCCAGAGTCCACAGGCAATCTCTTGGCAGAATTTACTCTTTCTTGAGGGGGGTTAGTCTTTTTCTTAAAGGCTTCAATTGACTGGATGAGACCCACCCACATTATGGAGGTTAATGTGTTTTATTTAAAGTCTACTGATTTTTTTTTTTTTATTAAAAAAAATTTTTTTAATGTTTATTTGAGAGAGAGAGAGAGAGAGCGTGAGCAGGGGAGGGGCAGAGAGAGAGGGAGACACAGAATCTGAAGCAGGCTCCAGGCTCTGAGCTGTCAGCACAGAGCCTGATACAGGGCTCAAACTCACGAGCTGTGAGATCATGACCTGAGCCGATGTCAGACACTCAGCCGACTGAGCCACCTAGGCGCCCCTAAAGTCTACTGATTTAAATGTTAATCTTATCTAAAAAAGTGTTTTCATAGCCACATCCAAGCATGTTTGAACAAAAACTGGGTATCCTGACCTAGCCAAGTTGATACATAAAATTAATCATCACAACTGGCTTACCTCTTTTACTTAATCTGATGTCGAAAGAAATGAATTTACTTTGATGACAGTTTTGACTTATTAGTAAATCAGAATTTTCAGGCAAGTGCTTGGTTAGAAATACACCATTCATATATTGAGCCAAGTCATTTTGGTAATTGTAGCCTTAGTATCTGGGAAAAGTTGAATATAATTAACATTAATTTGCTCAAAAGAAAATGGTTACATATTCCACATAGATGAATTAGAAATGAAGTCATTTTTGGTTACCCAGTCAAAGCAATATCTTCTGTATTAGAACATCTGAGGCAGAATGATTTGTGGAAAGCTAAGCACTGTGTTCTAGTTTTAGCTTTTCATTTTTAAATTCAAGTTTGGAAGAGGATCCCTTTAATTTCTTCCCTCACTTTTGTTGGCTTATGTGTAAAGTGAAAATCTAGACAAGACCTTGAAAACCTCTTCTAGCACTATTCTGTGATTTTATAGTGTTTAACTCTTTTCAAAAAAAAATTTTTAATGTTTATTTATTTTTGAGAGAGAGAAAGAGAGACAGAGTGCAAGCAGGGGAGGAGCAGAGAGAGAGGGAGACACAGGATCCGAAGCAGGCTCCGGGCTCTGAGCTGTCAGCACAGAGCCGGATGCAGGGCTCGAACCCTTGAACCGTGAGATCATGGCCTGAGCTGAAGTCAGACGCTTAACTGACTGAGCCACCCAGGCGCCCCTGTAGTGTTTAACTCTTAAAGAATGTCTCACATTCTCCTTTGAGTAGAGTTTTTGTGCTCTTTACTTTCCTGCTTTAATAGCTATTTCCCTGAGAGTCATGGTAGTAAATTATTCATCTTTATATTAATCTTGCTCAGTTCCTTACTCAGAGCAAGCATCCAAATTTTTGTTTAGAATATGTATGATCTATTAGTGGAGTTCACTATATAGTCAAATGTTATTCTTTAAAACCTTATTAAATACATAAAAAAATCAATATAGCAATTCATTGTCCTGGCCTCCCATGTTAATATGACTTCATGAGTTTAAAACTAAACTGTCCTTGTAGACTTCTCATTACACTCATTGTCCTCAGTTACAATCAAATAATTTTGGCCTTTTCTATATACTAGTGTGATTTGGGGCTAATTACATAGCTTCTCTCATCTTCATTTCTTTGAAGAGTAAGATTGAGGATAATCATAATCCTTTTCCAGTGACTACAATATTGAAAGTTACAGTATGGAAAAACATCAAGCCCAGTGCTTGATACAGAATAGACATATTAAAATGTTAGTTTTAATTTCTACCTCCCCCCCACTTTAGGATTGGGACTTATACATCTTCCTGCTACCAGAGTGTCTTGTATGAGATATTCAGTAAATGTTTATTAAATTGAAGATGCTAATGAATTAAGTAATTTATTATGAGAAATTCCAAAAGAAATCCTTAAGAATCACTAAAAATTCAGGGGGTTTAGTTAAATAATGTTTGCTATTCGTATTAAGGACAGGCTTTTAGATATAAAATAACTTTATTGATTTAATTTAGTACTTTCCATGCAACAAAAACATTTAAATGTTTTGCATTTGTGTTTTCATTTCAGAGATGTAGCTTGGTTCGATGAATCTTGGTTAAGCCGAATTAAAGAAGATACGGGTGACAACTGGAGAATAAAGGTATACAGAATGAGCAGTAGAAGCACTTAACCCAAACAGTGATTTTAAAATTAGCACTAAGCTCAGCTAAATCTTTTTTTAAAAATTAATTTAAGGGTGCATTTTATTGTGTGCAGTTTGTTTTGACACATGCATGTTCTTAGGTAACTACAGTCATAATTAGGTGTGGAACATTTCCATTAACCCAGAACATGCACTTACGTCCTTTCCCACTTAATCCCCACTCCTCGCTTGGCCCTGTGGATCTGCTTTCTGTCACTGTAGATTTCTAGAATTCTGTATAAATGGTAACGGACATTATTTACTTTTTGTTACTCTTTGTGTCTAGCATCTTTCACTCAGTGTGATGTTTTTGAGACTTACCCATGCTACCTGTATTAGGAGTTATTTATTATTATTATTATTTTCCTGAGTAGTATTTCATTACATTGATAGTCTACAATTTGCTTACCCATTCACCTGTTAATGGATGTTGGAATTGTTTCAGTTTTTAGCTACTATGGATACAGTTACAAAGAATATTTAGTATGAGTCCTTGCGTAGACATATGTCTAATTTCTCTTAGATAAATTCCTCAATGTGATTGTATCTGGTTATGTAAGTATATATTTGATCTTATAAGAAACTACCAAACTGATTTTGTTTCTTCATAAGTCAGTTTTGTTGTGTATTATAGGGCATTTGTGTGTTTCACTTAGGTTGTCCAATTTGTTGGCATACAGTTCTTAACTGTGTTATTTTGCTAGTATAATATTTGCTAATATAATATGCTGGTAACTCTGTGATCTTTAGTGATGTATCCTCTTTCTTTCCCGATGTTGGCAGTTTATGTGTTTTGTCTTTTTTTTCTTGAGAAGTTTGGTTTGATGTTTTTCAAGTTTTTTGTTTTTTGTTTTTTTTTTTAAGAACTAGCTTTTGTTTTTTTATAGATTTCCTCTCTGTATTATTTCCTTTCCTTTACCTACACCTTCTCTTCTTTCTTTATGCCTTAAAGTAGAAAATTAAATCATAAGTTTTAGGCACCTTTTTTTCCCCTAATTTAAGCATTGCCTTACACATCTCACACATTTTGACTTTCCATGTTAGTATTTTCATTCAGTTTAAAATACTCATTAATTCCCCATGTGATTTCTTTTGACCTACAGGTGGATTAGAAGTAGATATCTCAAATTATAAATATTTGAAGATTTTTTTAGGCACCTTTTTTATATTTATTGATTTCTAATTTCCATTTTTGTTTGATAACATAACTCCGTATTGAGAAATTCTTTTACATTTATTGAGACTTATTTTATGACCTAACATATGGTCTGTTTTGGTGAATGTTCCATGTGCCCTTGAACATGTATTCTGCAGGCAGATTATATCAAACTGACTGATAGTTCTGTTGCGTCTTTTATATCTTTATTGATTTTTCTTTGACCATCCTGTCAGTTATGGAAGAGGAGTCCTTAAATCTCTAACAATGATTGTGGATTTGTCAATTTCTCCTTTCAGTTCTGTTAACTTTTATCATGTAATTTGAATCTCTTGTTAGGTTTATATACATTATTTTTTAAATGTCTTCTTGGTGAATGAATCTACTTATCATTATGTATTCCTTGCTCTGAAGTCTAATTTGTCTGACATTAATGTAGCCACTCTAGTTTTATGATTATTTCTTGCTTTAGTGTATCTTTTTTTATTCTTTTAATCTGTATCTTTATGTTAGGTCTCTCATGTACACATCTAATAGTTGAGTCTTCCTTTTTTTATCCATAGAATATCTATTTTTTTAAGTTCGTATTAAAATTTATTTATTTATTTATTTATTTATTTATTTAAAAAACTGAGTTGAATCCTCAGCAGCTTTTTTTTTTTTTAAGTTTATTTATTTTTGAGACAGAGAGAGACGGAGCATGAATGGGGGAGTGGCAGAGAGAGAGGGAGACACAGAATCGGAAGCAGTCTCCAGGCTCTGGGCCATCAGCCCATAGTCCAACACGGGGCTCGAACTCATGGACCGTGAGATCGTGACCTGAGCCGAAGTCGGACGCCTAACCGACTGAGCCACCCAGGCGCCCCTGTATTAAAATTTTTTTAGTGTTTATTTATTTTTGAGAGAGAGACAGACAGAAAGACAGACAGAGTGTGAGCAGGGGAGGGGAAGAGAGAGAGGGAGACAAAGAATCCAAAGCAGACTCCAGGCTCCAGCTGTCAGCATAGAGCCCATGTGGGGCTCGAACCCACGAACTGCGAGATCATGACCTGAGCTGAAGTCAGACGCTTAACCAACTGAGCCACCCAGGCGCTCCTGGTTTTTGTTTTGTTTTGTTTTTGTTTTTGTTTTTGTTTTTAAAGAAAATCTTCCGTTATTTTTCTTACATTCCTATTTCCATTTAAATCCTTGAACATTATTTCTAAACTAGCAGTTTTAACATTATTCTAATTCTTTCATCGCTCATTTCTGGGCTTGTTTCTATTGACTGAGATTTCTCCTCATGATCCATGTTTTTTTAATGATCCATATTTTCCTGCTTCTTCACATATGTAGTAGTTTTTTATTGGATGCTAAGCAGTGTTTGGATGCTAGAATTTCATTGTTGAGTGCTGGATTTTTTGTTTTTCTTCGAAGAGAGTCGGACTTTGTTCTTGCAAGCAATTAAGATACTTATGAATCAATTTGATTCTTCTAAAGTTTTGGGTGGGAGGCAGATCTAGGGTTATCTTTCTTCTAGGGCTAGTTTAGACAAACTACTAAGGTATGACCTTTTCAAAGTCTTTAGTGAATGCTTGTCTATACAGCATTGTCTCTTCACTCTGGCTGGTGGGAATTTCAACCATTTCTGGCCTTGTGTAATCTTTGGAAATTGTTCAGCTTAAAGTTCCCTGGCTTGTTTTTGCCTTGGGAGTTATTCTTGACTGGGGAAAAAAGTGAAATTTTTTTTGTTGAATCTCACTGAGTTTCTCTCGTGCACATGCAAATAAGTATTCAGCTGAAAGACACAAAACACTGTGTAGATTTCCGGAGCTCTTTTCCTCCATAGTGCTCACCTCTTCATTTGTCTGCCTACAAAGTCTAACTACCTTGACCTTCCTGAACTTCTGAAGTCTAACTCCTCAACTCAAGGAGAACCTCAGGCTTTGTTCAGGTTCTACCACTCCATTCCATGGAATGAAAATCCCCTCCAGAGAGAAATCTTGGACTAGAGTTGGACTCATCTTTTTGTTTTCCTTCTCTCAGAAATTAGAGTTCCATCCTGCCCAATGGCTAAAGCTTGGAAACAGTTGTTTCTTTGTGTTTTGTCCTGTTTTCTGTTGTTTTTGGCAAGAGAATAAGTAGAAACCTTGGTACTCATTCATGACTGGAGGTGAACATAGTCAAAGCTAAATCTTTAAAGTTGTACTTTTCCTCATTGTGTCTCATTTTAAATAGAATCACCCTGGTTAACCTATGTAAGCATGAAGACATTTTTAATCAAACTCCAATTAAAGCTTTCATGTTTAAAAAATATCATATGCTTGTATCTATAAAACTCTAATATATGTTTTTGTTGTCATTTTTATGAGGCCAGAGTTCTTATGTCTTTCACATTGGCATAAATTTTCCTTCATTACTAATGTGAAATAATTCATTGAATTCTTATTTTTTTTTTCCATTAGGCTAGTAATTTAAAGAAGGTACTTCAAGGAATTATGAGTTATTACAATGAGGTATGAAAAACATCTGATTTGTTTAAATACCAAATCATATATGATGATTATATTGACACTAAAAGAAACTTGGATTTTAGTTTATAACATTTTACTGAAATGTAATTCATAATTAGAATATATTGTTTTTTGCCATGTTCAGAACACTCAAATTTTGTGAACATGAATAGGCTTAAACTAATATATTGGTTTGTAAAATAATGTTCCTTCTATATTGATACTCCTGAAATTGGTTTTTTTCTACAACTGAATTACTGTCATTTCTGTGTGACTTGATTTTAAAAAATGCAAAGTCTGTACAAATAGATTTTATAATTAAGTTGAAGTATTTCCTATGTAAGTATTATTTTGACATTTCTTTTCAGTGCAAGCAGCAGCAAAGGTATACTGTGAAATTATGCTTTTGTGCAAGTGAAATAGAAAATAAGCAAAATGGAAGTAGTATTAAAGTCACTTTAGATAGTACATTATTCAAGTAGGTTTTTTGTTTTTTTCTTATTCAATACCATAACAAGTTTTCTAATAGAGTTATTTGATATAAGAAAGTTTATCGCTTATGTTTGCAATCTTTTGGTTTGGTTTTGCCATTAAAATATTTGGTTTCTATTTTTACTCTTTTAAATTTTTTAATTTTTTCTTTATTTTTGAGAAGGAGAGAGTGCGAGCAGGGGAGGGGCAAAGAGAGAGGAAGAATCTCAAGCCGGCTATGCACTGTCAGCTCAGAGCCCAACGTAGGGCTCGAACTCACAAAACTGTGAGATCACTGCCTAAGCTGAAATTAAGAGTTAGGTGCTTAACTGACTGAGCCATCCAGGCGCCCTGGTTTCTGTTTTTTAAAGTTGTCACATATTTACACTTGTAATTTTTTCCAAATAATTTTAAAGACTGAAAAGTTTCAATTTATTAATGCCTAAAACTTATTTTGGAACTTTTTTTTTAATGTCAAGAAAATTTTTTAAAATGCTAAAAAAAGATAAGGAAAGATTAATCCATTGGATTTGTTAGATTTGCTGTTCTTTTGTAAGTGTGATGATTTATATTATGGTTTCTGTTATTCAATCATGCGTCAAAATATTATGCATATCTTTTGGCTTACGTAAATCTATTTTTGGAAAGGTGTAACTTTTGTCATAATAGATCAGGCTAGGGGTTTCTTAATCCCTTTGACAGTGGGATCAAAGGATATTGATGTAAAACCATTTTAGTTGCTGTTGGTTCGTTACTCAAAATTTTGGGATGCTGCTTGAACTTTGCTTACTGGTTGTAGTAAATAATTATGGATATATCAGTTTGTTGATTTATCTCATGATCCTGTTTATAATTTATTTTCCTTGTGATAATTAAATGTAATAAATTCTTTGTAATCTACATAAATGAGTGATCTAATTTATTGTCTCACTACTGCAGTTTTTGGGGCAGCAGATTTCTGAAGAACTCATCCCTGATTTGAACCAAATAACTGAATGTTCAGATTCTGTGGAGCTAGGGAGGTTGCTCCAGCTTATTTTAGGGTGTGCCGTCAATTGTGAAAAGAAGCAAGGTAAGTGAATTTCAATCAATTCAAAGTCAATCTGGGAATATTTACTTTCTAGGAACAACCTACATTGTTATAGAAAGTAGCCTAAAAATTCACTGTTGCATCTTGCACAAATCACCTGGAAATGTAGCCTAGGAGATCTTAATTCTATCCCTGTTCTGCTGTTAATAAGTTACAAATCTTAGTTGTACCTGGATTCTGAGATTTATATTCAGTGGCTAAATTAAATGTATTTTAGTTTAATTAATTTAATTTATAATATTCAGTGCTAGGACTTAGTGGATATTTAGTAAAAATTGTACTTGTTCATCTGCTACATTTTCTGATAGAAGATAGAATCTTAGGCTGATTCAGATTTTTATAAATAAATATGCAGATACTAAGTTATAACCCAAGCTTCCTCAGATGATATTCTGCTCTTTTCAGAAGAATGCCTGTCCAGCGTACCCTCCACTTAAGCAATCTGATGACACAAAAGGAATTGTTATATTGGTATATCCAAAAACAGTGACTCATATCCTAGTGAATACAAAAAGATCATTTTTGGTTGCATGTAGTGAATGAAATAATGAATGGAACACACCAAAATTTACTTCCTTCAGAGTCTTGCATTAGTCTGGGTGGTGAGATTTTTGTTGCTGATGTTTTTTGCAGGAGTCATCCAAACTTGGTCTCAGTACATCACCTTTATGAGAGAATGTTGGGTGCTTAAGTTTGTAAAAAACTGTAAGCCAGGATTTTAGAAGACAAGTTCAACATTATCTAGTGAAGTAATAATATGAGGCAGGTTAAATTCAATAAGAACAAACTCAGGAAGGAGAAAGATAAAATATATGAAATTTATTCCTTTGTTTTTTTAAGTTTATTTATTTATTCTGAGAGAGCTGGAGAGAGCATGAGCGGGGAAGGGACAGAGAAAGAGGGAGAGAGAATCCCCAGCGGGCTCTGTACTGTCAGCACAGAGCCTGATATGGATCTCAAACTCATGAACCATGAGATCATGACCTGAACTGAAGTCGGATGCTCAACCGACTTAACCACCCAAGCGCCCCAGAAATTAATTGCTTCTCAATAAAAAAGGACAGCGACTGGGTATCAGAAAATCTTGGTATTAGTTCATCTCTATCATCAACTAGCTATTTTTTTTCTAGGGCAAGTGAGTATTTCTCCACAGGCTTTTATTTTTCAGAGATAGTGTCAAAGATCTATGTATTGGGGTTTTTCACACAAATAAGGAGAATTTGGTCATCAAAAGTTATTAACCCTGTCATAAATTTTAATTACAAATTGACAAATAGCAATTAACTTATAAATCTAGCAATTTTCTGTTATTGTGATCCTTTTTATTTTTTATTTGTTTAATGCTTTGTTTTTCAGCTACTGGTTATTTATAACATCTGTTTGCTTAATTTTAGCACATTTGTCAGTTTTTTTATTGAAGTGTAATTGACATTCAATTTTATATTAGTTTCTGGTGTACAGCATATTGATTTGACACTTCTGTACATTACTCAGTGCTCACCATGGTTAGTGTAGTCACCATCTGTCTCCAATGTTATTACGGTGTTATTTACTATATTCCCTAGGCTGTACTTTCATTACTGTGACTAATTTATTTTATAACTTTAAGTTTGCACCTCTTAATTCCCTGTATCTGTTTCACCCATTCTCCCACTCACCCCTTCTCTAACAACCATATAAGTGAAATCATATGGTATTTTTCTTTATCTGACTGACTCCTTTCACTTACCATCATACTTTTTAGGCCCATCCATTTGTTGAGCCAGCTCTCATTCTTTGGCTGTGGCTGAGTAATATTCTGTCCTGTGTATGTAGACTTCTTCTTCTTTATTCATTCATCTATTGACGGATATTTGGGTTGCTTCCATATCTTGGCTATTGTAAATAATGCTGCAATCAACATAGGGGTGCATGTATCTTTTCAAATTAGTGTTTACATTTTCTTTGGTTAAATACCTTGTGGTGGAATTACTGGGTTGTATAGTAATTCTGTTATCTATGTTTTTGAGGAACCTCCGTACTGTCTTCCACAGTAGTTGCACCATTATATATTCCTACCAACAGCACATGAGGGTTCCTTTTCCTCCACATCCTCGCCAACACTTGTTATTTCTTGTGTTTTTTATTATAGCCATTCTGACTGGTATGAGGTGATATCTTATTGTGGTTTTGATTTGCATTTCCCTGATTGTTAGTGATGTTGAGCATCTTTTCATGTACCTGTTGGTCAGTTGTATTTATTCTCTGGAAAAATGTTGGGGTCCTCTCATTCTTAAATCAGGTTGTTTGTATTTTTGGTGTTGAGCTGTAGAAGTTCATCATGTATTTTGTATATTAACCCCTTATTAGATAGATAATTTACAGTTATCTTCTATTCAGTGGACTGTCTTGCCTCAGGAGACATATCCATAAATATGTTGCTAAGGCTGATGTTCAGGAGATTACTGCCTGTGTTTTCTGTTAGGAGTTTTACGGCTTAGGTCTCACAGGTTTCCCAGCACCATTTATTGGAGAGACTGTCTTTTTTCTATTGTTTATTCTTTTTTTTTCTTAATTTTTATTCATTTTTGAGAGCGAAAAAGAGAGAGAGAGAGAGAAAGGGAGAGAGAGAGAGCAGGAGGGGCAGAGAGGAAGACACAGAATCCAAAGCAGGCTTCTGGCTCTGAGCTGTCAGCACAGAGCTGGATGCGGGGCTCAAACCCACAAACCACAGGATCACAATCTGATCTGAAGTCAGATGCTTAACCAACTGAGCCTCCCAGGCACCCCTCCATTGTATATTCTTGACTTCTTTGTCATTGATTAATTGACCGGGTAGGTGTGGGTATATTTCTGGGCTCTGTATCCTATTGCATTAATCTATGTGTCTCTTGTGCCAGTACCAGACTATTCCAATTACCACAGCTTTGTAGTGTATCTCGAAACCTGGGATTGTGATACCTCCAGCTTTGTTGTTCTTTCTCAAGATTGCTTTGGCTATTCAAGTTTTTTTGTGGTTCCATACAGGTTTTAAGATTATTTATTCTAGTTCTTTGAAAAATGCTTTTGGCATTTCGATAGGGATTGCAATGAACCTGTAGATGTTTGGGTAGTATGGACATTTAACAATATTAATTCTTTCAGTCGATGAGCATGGTACATCTTTCCATTTGTGTCATCTTCAATTTCTTTCAGATTTCAGAGTACTGGTCTTTCACTTTATTGGTTAAATTTATTCCTAGGTATTTTATTTTGGCATAGTTGTAAATGGGATTGTTTTCTTAGTATGTTTCTGCCACTTCATAGTTAGTATGTAGAAACACACCAGATTTCTTTATATTGATTTTGTATCCTCCATCTTCACCTCATTTATTAATTGTAGTAGATTTTTGGTGGGGTCTTTAGTGTTCTCTATACACAGTAGTTTGTCATCTGTAAATAGTGATGATTTAACTTCCTCCTTACCAGTTTGGGTGCCTTTTACTTCCTTACTTTTCTGCGGTTGTCGCAGCTAGGACTTCCAGTAGTACTGTGCTGAATAAAAGTGGTGAGAGTGGACAGCCTTACCTTGATACTGATCTTAGAGGAAAAGTTTTCAGTGTTTCATCATTGAGTATGATGTTACCTGTGAGATTTTTTTTATATGACCTTTATTATGTTGAGATATGTTCCCTGCAAAACTACTTCGTTGAGGGTTTTTATCATAAATGGATATTGTACTTTGTCATATGCTTTTATGCATCTTTTGATGTGATCACATGGTTTTTATTAGTCCTGTTGTTGATGTGATGTATCACATTGATTTGTGAATATTGAACCACCCTGGCCCTCCTGGAATAAATTTCACTTAATTGTGGTGAATGATCCTTAAAGTGTTATTGAATGTGTTTTGCTAATATTTTGTTGAGGATTTTGGCATCTGTGTTTGTCAGAGTTATTGGCCTGTAGTTATCTTTTTTAGTGGAGTCTTGATCTGCTTTTGGTATCAGGGTAGTATTGGCCTCATGGGATCAATTTGGAAGTTTTCCTTCCTCTTGTATTTTTTGGAATAGTTTGAGAAGAATAGGTATTAACTCTTCTTTAAATGTTTGGTAGAATTTACTGTGAAGCCAGCTGGTCCTGGACATTTGTTTATTGGGAGGTTTTTGTTTTTTTTTTTTTTAATTACTGATTCAGTTTCATTACTAGTAATAAGTCTGTTTAAATTTTCTTTTTATTCCTGATTCCATTTTGGAAAATCATATGTTTCTAGGAATTTACCCATTTCTTCTAGGTTGTGTAATTTGTTGGTATACAATTTTTCAAAATATTCTGTTGTAATTCTTTGTATTTCTGTGGCATCAGTTACTATTTCTTCTCTTTCATTTTTTATTTTATTTATTTGACTTTTTTTTTTTTAATTTTTTTTTTTCAACGTTTATTTATTTTTGGGACAGAGAGAGACATAGCATGAACGGGGGAGGGGCAGAGAGAGAGAGGGAGACACAGAATCGGAAACAGGCTCCAGGCTCTGAGCTATCAGCCCAGAGCCCGACGCGGGGCTCGAACTCACGGACCGCGAGATCGTGACCTGGCTGAAGTCGGACGCTTAACCGACTGCGCCACCCAGGCGCCCCTGACTTTTTTTTTTTGACTCTTGATGAGACTGGTTAAAGGTTTATCAATTTCATCTTTTCAAATAACCAGTTCTTGGTTTCATTTCATTTCTATTGTTTTTTAGTCTCTTTCCTTAATTTTACTCTAATCGTTATTATTTCCTTTCTTCTATTAACTTTAAGCCTTCTTCTTCTTTTTCTGGTTTCATTAGGTGTAAGATTAGGTTGTTTGGGATTTTTCTTGTTTCTTGAGATAGTCTGGTTTGCTATAAACTTCCCTCTTAAAACAGCTTTTGCTGCATCCCAAAGATTTTGGATTCTTGTGTTTTCATTTCCATTTGTCTCCATGTATTTCCTCTGATTTCTCTGTAACCCATTGGTTGTTTAGTAGCATGTTGTTTAGCCTTC